CAACTCTGTTGAAGGCATCACAGAAGTATCTGACAGCGACAGATAAAAAATAGCAGGCTATTATGGTATCTACTATTCAGTATTAACACGCAGAGACGACTGGTCTTATCGTCTGAGCGATACCATACGGCGTAGTGTTTCCTGGCACATCCATTCTCCAGCAAGACACGCATAAGACAGAAATCAAACCTGCAGCACCAACTCAGTTAGTATTAACACGCAGAGACGACTGGTCTTATCGTCTGAGCGATACCATACGGCGTAGTGTTTCCTGGCACATCCATTCTCCAGCAAGACACGCATAAGACAGAAATCAAACCTGCAGCACCAATAGTTATAATTCTTCTAAGATTTTTCACTCTTTCATTATGAAGCAGCATTCCCAGGAAGCACATCTACGCAACATGGTGCCACTTTTTTCTATCACTAGGTGCTCATTTACCAGCACCAAGTCGCTCGTGTTTCCAAAGATGTTTAAAACCACCCATCAGTCTTCATTATCACAGATAGAATCTCAAAACTGATTGTAAAAGTTATTTTATACAAAGTTCTGAACACAATAGTTGATAAATAACGACCAAAGAATGACGGTATCTGGCTTTCAGTTCCCACTTACAATGTGAGGCTGCGTGGTCCTGTGAAAGGTATTTTACTTCTCCATTATTAGCTATATTAGAAAACATTAAATTATTTCATACTCAAAATTGATAGATAACCAGTTGCATCCCTTTCTATTCAGTCTTGATCACAGAACGGCAGCTTAGTAGTCAAACTATTAATTTTTGTAACAATACTATGTAATTACTGACACTAAAATATAGAAATATCTGTACCAGCCCAGAAAAGAAAGCATGTAGTAGAGTTTTTTTATATACTCCGTAAAAGGAGAGAAGCACAATCCTTGAGTATTTTATATGCCCAAGAACTGCACAGAAAAATAGCTGGACTTACTCAAGATGGAGGCTACCAATAGTGTCTCAAAACCCTAGGTTAATAATGGTATCACAGCTTTAGCATTGAACCTCCTTTAGTTTTTGCAGTACTGTATATATCACAACCACTTAAAGTCTTTTCTATTTTAAGCAGAAAAATTCATGAAAATTTACAAAACGCTTATCAATTTTCTGCCAACTGGTTTAGTTTTTTCCTCTTCTAAGTGCCTAATTAAGGTCACCTATTTATTCCTTTTAAAACCCGTATTTTAATTTTAAATTGTAAATTCTGAAACACAAAATGAAGTTAAACGTCACCGCCCAGGTGCTGTTCCTGCACTAGGGACAGCTCTATCCGAGCGACATGCGCTTTACCTAAACGAGTCGCTATTTCTGAGCGTGACTTTAAATAAATAATTTAAAATAGAACAAAACCAGAAAGCAAAACAGAGCCAGCTCACAAAGTGTTCAATAGCATAATGTCACATTGATAGATAAGACTGACAAGTCCAAATACAACTCCGAATTTCATCAACAACGTTGTTCTTCAATGCAAACAGAAATAGCAAAAGAAGGGGAGACAAATGAAGCAGCGGAAACAGGCAGCTAAAAGGAACATTATAGAAAGATCTTCAGCTGATGCTGACATGTTAAAATTTATCTACGTAGCCAGGCTCAAAACCACGCAGTTTGCTGCAAATACATGAAAGCTTTCAACTGTTTTGTATTTTTATTACAGGCAGCCAAAGTACTAAGCCTTATAATATGTACTACAGCACTGCAATAATAATATGTACCTGCCTGTAAGCCCAAAATCTTCTTCAAGCTTCTCATTTAGGAAATACAAAGAATTCAAATACATTTCATTTCTAGGTGAGGATGGGTGATGAATTCTCTCCTACAGTTACTGAGGCAATATACTAACACTACTAGAAATTTGGGTAATTTCAGCATTGAATCACATCTTCAACAGCCTGAAGACAGCTTAAAAATAAAAAAGGTCAGAGGAAGACAACAGGATAAGAGAAACACAGAGGCCACAGCAAATCCCAAATTCACATAAATTTAAATAAAATATTTCTCTCTATCAAGTCATATTTAATGTGAGAATGATGAAAAGACCTCAGCTGTAAAGGCACACTCTTTGATGGGATTTTTTAAATTTCTCAATAAAACTTAATTCCCACCATAAATTTAACTCATTTTTCACAGGCTTCATATCCCCACATACGCTCTTGCCCAGAAGGTCCACTGCCCAGCTTGAGTGTAACTATTCCAGCAGGCAAGGGAAGGAATCGTGCTTCTCTGGCCAGCTGCTAAACTACAGCATTGCCAACAGGTTATTTCTCCTCTCTGGATTAAGATTTAAAGATGCAAGGGAAGGAATTGTACTTCTCTGGCCAGCTGTTAAACTACAGCATTGCCAACAGGTATTTCTCCTCTCTGGATTAAGATTTAAAGAATACCTGTAAGGACCAATTTAATTCTTCCAGCCACAGTCAAAAACTAAAAAGACAAATCCCATCCAAAAAACTCTTCCTTGATGCAAATTTTTCATCCATAATTCAAATATTTTCACGGGGACCAGAGAAGCTCCCTTGGAATGACTAGTTGGCAGCACCCAGCCAGCAATGGTTTTAACTGGTCTTCTTCTCCTAATATTATTCTTTCATAAAAGAATTGCATAGGATGTAAACGTTTTGTCAACGATAGACAGGACAGGGACGTGGAGAAAGCACAGTCAGGAAGGAAGTTGAAGGCTATTTAAATTTCATCTGTATCTATGACAAATTAATGAGAAGGCTGGAAGCTTGTTTTTAAAAACACAAGACAGTTCACTTCAAAGGCTTCTTGGTATTTTGAGGAATTTTTTTTTTGCTGAAGAATATGTTCCACTGTTCGCAGCTGCACCTATTTTTTCTCCTTCCAGTTGCTGGAATTACAGGTATGCTGTTTGTTCAGAGATAAAGTAAAGAACCATTTAATGCAGACAAAAATTTTTTTTTGACTGATCCATTACTCCTTCTGGAGGCTGACTGGACAGACAGCCTCACAATATGGTTTCAGTCCTCCATTAAGGAACAGTTTCTTTCTTATTCTGTCTACAGCCATCTGCCTTCAGATTTTATTTTCTTTCTATGGTGAGGGCCAACTAGATTTTTATTTTAATATTATTTTAATCTACGCTCCCTCCCACAAATTCTTAGAAGTGCCTGTTACTTTAGGCTGGTTGAGTCATGAATCTTAGGAGCAGTTTTCTGATAGTCTTCACTGTTGCCTCAGTATGTTGTCTACATGCTGCCCCACTGTTTCTCAAGATGTCTGTATCTATCTTCTCACTTGAAATAAATTTTCTTACCATTTCTAGTTTATTTTTAGCTGCTATAAAAGAGGCTCCTTTAGCTTTATGCAATTACCCTCCACAAATGCTAACAAGTTTCCCTTTCTCTAGCAGACTCCAGTGTTGCACGCTCTCATTTTCTCCTTGCATTCTTTCACCTTCTTTCCCAGATTAATTCCTTCAGACATGCTGAGATAAACACTGCCAGATGTGAGATGAATGCAAATGTTAAGAGTCGTTTCTTTTTTCATTCTAAATATTCAATCTATATTACCCATGACTTAAAGACTTCTTCAGCATATTTTATCATCGAGCTTAATATAATATAAAAGGGCAGGAGCTTCAGACAGAACGTATTTATGCTGCTATCACAATAATCACCACTATGAAATGATGTTCTGTACCTCTTGACAAATGATCTCGTAAAACGGTCATTTCTGCGTGCAGCTCTACATCAAGATCAGAATGAAGTAACAAACTCAACTTGGAAGGAATGATCAAATCCACCCCAGAAGGTCATTCTGAAAATTGACTCGCTAACAGTTCAAAAGCAATCAAGGGATTGTCAACTGCATGACCAAAGAAGAGGACAAAGACCAGAAAAACCAGCAACGTTTCTGCTTTTTGTATTTGCTTACCTAAAATAATCAAGACACTGTGAAAGAAATAGAGCTCAGGTATTCATATGGAAATCTGAAATCACTTCACCGTTAGCACCTTTCACACTCCCTTGGATACCTGGCTGTATTAATCTACCTCTTTTTGGTAATTGAGCACTAATATGCAGAAGAAGTGATGTTCTTAAGGAAAAAAATATTGATTTATGAGTGGTGGACAATATTTTTTTAACAATGAACGCTATCAAGGGATGTACAGCAAGCCTGAAAATTCACAAGTAAAACACTCCATACAAAAGATTAACAAAATGAACTAGACTCAACAGTGTTTCATATTCATGATTCCCTTTGCATTTAAAATTCTCAATTATTTTATTTATTTATATTTTTTTTATGCTGGTGACCCATTTGAATCAGAGAGGAAATCAGTGGCAGGTTCAAAACCAGGTTTAATTCCACAGATGCCCTAACTTCTCAGTGACAAAAGGAAACACTAGTATTTTACAAAAATAAACACTGCAGACTATCAACCTGTTCTGACTTTTTTTTTTTTAAAGAAGAGTGGATATATCTACAATACAGAAACATACCATTTTGTCTCTGAAGTAATGTATTCCGTAGTTGGAATAGTAGGGTAAAAAAATAAAGGAAAAGAGCTTCATTCAATTGCCCTGTTTGGCAGTTCTCACTATTTATTTAATATCAGGCCATCAAACAACATGCAAACATGTTACTGTCTTTGGGCACTCTGAATCAGACAATTTGGAGACCTTTCCCTCTAAAACCCTGCCAGACTGTTACTACTAGGTATCTTCAAGATATTAGAATTCCTAACTTTGAATAAATTATTTAACAAATTAAATGAAGAACAGATGTGTGCATCAGATATTCTTAATTAGATCCCTTAGCAAAGAATGAGGCAATCCACAATTCTAATTTTAAAACCAAGCCACCATTTTACTGAACATCATCTCTTTGATATAACCACGGTTTCTACATAATTTAGTTAGATGTATTTTGAAATTAAACAGTAAATGATTCCAACAAAATGAAACACAAAAAGAAGAAACATTTGTGCAGGAATGGCTTTCTGAATCAAGGTTTTTTTACCTCACAAAGTAGTAAGTCAATGATGTGGAAGACCATGCAGAGTGGAAACTTGGCAGTAAAAAGAGTGAGGAACCACTGGGATGCATACATATGAGCTTCCAAGTTGAGGTCTGAGAAATGGCTATACAAGTCTGGTAACTGCTCCTAGAGTAAAGGAAAAAATAAATGCTTCAGTATTACTCATTAATCCCAGTTCTTCATCTACACTGCCAGTAAGTACCAGGTTGCTAAACACTGAAAAACACAACAAAATGAAATCCTGGCTTCTTTTGAGCGATGGAAATATGTTTCTTCATAAATGTCAGTGTCCATGGTTACAGCTTTTAGTAAGATATCCACTGTGGCTTCTATTACAGTATCAAATAATGTACTGAGATTATACTGAGGAATTACAAAATCTTCAACAGTTGAGAGTCAGAGCAGTTGTGAAATCTGTCTCTTGCATACGGTATATTTTTAAGCTATTCCTTTGCTGTGTCTTGCTATAAATGATTCTGCTACAAAACCCAATAGATACTAGAACAAGGACATCACCTTGCAGAGCATGAAAGCAATGAAGTGCCCAACAGACAATTTCCTCAAGTAGAAGCATATATAAGCAACACAAAATAAGCACTGATAATTCTACTGTACACTGATGAGGTATTCCTATTCAGTTAATCAAGTAAAAATCTTCGTTAACATATGTAAATATTGGGAAGACCACATGCTGAAGTATCAAATTCATTAGTATGCAATTCTACTCCATCTAGTAGAAAACACACACAATTTGACATCTGATAAAAAAAGAACATTAAATTAACTGTGATCTGTTTTGTTTGGTTTTAATATATTTCACAGAGGTATATATGGTCATCTATGGTAATTGACTCCAGCAACTAGCTTTCACTACGCTAGCAGAAACACAGGTCAAGGCTTAATGGACTGCTAGTAATCCCTTATTAGTCAGAACAAATATGTTTAAAACTTGCAGCTGTTTATTTATGTTAAATTGCTCTATGAAATAATTCCATCTGAAAAAAAAGAGCAATGTACTGAAAACACAGTCAAATCTACAAAATGACCTACACTCAATTCGCATTTCATAAGCATCAGGTTGTCCTGATTTGCCTGACCTCTTAACCACCAACATAATTCATAGAAAGTAGGACACTGATGGTGGCAGTCCAAAAGATATTTTGGCCTTAATAGAATAGAAACCTTCTCTCCAAGCAACATCACGATATAGGGAAGCAAGAGAGAGCAAGGAAACAGAGAGAGGAAAAAACCCAGATACCTACTGTGCTTGGATACATAGATTAGCAGCAAGATTGGTATATGAAAGACAAAAGAAATTAGAAAAAATTCTGACTCACAATGTTTGGACCCAGATATTGAACTTCCCTGCCTTGGTTCTACCCCACCTCTAAAAAGAAGAGGCTTTTTATTGTCCAGTAGTTTATGGAAGCAAAGTGTTAATCTCTTCTTCATACCAGTGTTCCCATTTATGAAAGTAGAAGAATTTGTTACCCTGGCCCCACCTGCATTAACTTCTCCAGCTGGAAAAATTTGCAATGGAGATCTTCAAAGTTATTTCTGTAGAGTTCCCTCAAGCCATAGTCATACATTATTTTCACAAATACACAGAATGCCTGCTCCTCTGGCATCTGTTTGGAAAAACACACAAACATAATTTTAAAAACTGAGCTGAGGCTGGAAATGTCTTACACAAATACACACACTTAAATATCTTATGCATGATGAATTCAGAACTAGAGATACATTAAAGTTTTCAGCACTCTGAATGTAGAATTAAGCAACTAAAATCTCAAGGGGACTATTCTCCTTAATGAGCACCTTGATTTGTCTCTGTAAGACCTTCTTTGAAGAAAACATTGGATCATATCATAGGTTCATGTAAGTATACATCCCTACAGCAGCACAACTGTCATCAATATTCTTTCTGCCAAATAGATATGCGAACAACCAGGACACAACTCTCAGCTACAAAACAACAATTTTTTAAAAGAAAAAAAAGAAAAAAAAAAAAGAAAGAAAGAGAGATATGGTTAAAAAGGGAAAATTCAGAACTAAGGTATAACCAACCCTTAGCAAGAATGATGCTTATCTACTTTCATCCAAACCCCAGAACATCAAACTCCCTGAAGTCAGGTTTCCCATGATGAATATGGAAACAACAAATTTTGCCTTCAGAACCTACTCTTGAGCTCAGGAGGGCTGATCCCATCTATGAACATCATGATTTTAACAGAAGCGCTGTCTCCATAATCTCTCTTTCATTTTGACCACGATTTGTCATCCAACAGAGTTTTAGAAGGCAGTACTAAAGGATAAGCTGTGTGAGCTGCTCTACAGTTGCATTTGTTGGCTTGAGTCCACTGAACATCAAATTTGTGGGAAGCCCTGTGTCATCAAACCTCCACAGGTAAGACACATCTCCCCCCTCTCCATGCCTTCAGGTATCACAATAATAAGAAAGGCACAAGTGGAGCCACCGCAGACTTTGAATCAGGTTTTCAATCACATTTAAAAACAACCTTTCTTTTGCAGGCACCAGATTGTAACAAATGAAAACAATTATTGAGTATCAAGAACGACAACTCTTGACCGTTTCGTACATTCACTCATTCAGCCTCTCGCCAACCCCTTATCAAATATCAGCAATAGATAAAAGCTCAGTATTTTCTTCAAAGAGAATTTTAGTCTCTTGATATTTACCTCTAGGGTTTCATCTTTTATGGTTCAGCCTATGATTGTGGCCTGTCTCCAGGGCCACGGGCAGACACTTTCATTTTCATTTTCAGACAGCACATATGAAAGTAACTAGTTAGCATAAAGAACTGCCAGATCAGCTGCTAGCTACCTGCCCAGGCTAGATTTGCCTGGAACAGGCTCCTAGGAATCTCAAAGCTCTTTATCACAATTTTATCTGGATGGAATGCTCCCCACTGACAGTGGATAAAAGCTGCAGACAAAGTAAAGGGAAAAAATAGTTTTATCCTGACCAAAAGCCTTGAATCTGCTCTACGGTAAGATGAATGCAAATTTCTTTTTTTTTTTTTTTTGCAAGGTAACAATTATTTCTAATAAAATGACAGATGCTCATGCACAAGCACACCTACCTTGCATGCTCAGACACACGTGCATTGACAGTTGTTCCTCCTCCAAGACAGGGAGAGGGAACAGAGGTGAATAATAGGCCCAAATCATTTACAGGCGGAGGCCACCAAGTCCTCGCTCTCAGTGGATGGAAGTTCTCCAGTATTACCAACCCCAAGAATTCAAAATAATAAAAATCAGGTTTTCATTTTGTATTTAAACAAAGTATTTTTTGGTGCTTCCATTCTGATTTTTAGCACTTAGGTATTTGGCCTGTTTTGTCTTTTCTTTGAAATCACAAAAGCCAAAAAATTAGTATTTTTTTAAATTTTTTCACATAGCAATGCCTCTGAGAGGTAGAGAACAAGGAAAAAAAGTACAAATAGTGTGAGACTTACAGTAAAATGATTAGAGTTGGCAACACTGTCCCCCTGTGATTAGAAGTTACCTGCTCACCTTTGATGGGAATTTCATCAAAGCAGCAAAATCACAAAAAGCCAGGATGGAGGTTCAGGCTACTCAACCATCCCTGAAACATATCTACACTGAACATAAAAGGATATCCTGTCCCAGAAAAAATGGGAAAGGAAGGGGTCTAGAAATCCATGCACAGAAGAGTTAGAGAGGTTCTTACAAGCATTCACCACATACAGATTGGTTGGAGAATTTGAGAAAAACAAGAGCTTGAGGACATCCTGGGAAGCTCCCAACTTACATGAGCTCATTGAGACTGCTTCCCTTCCCCCCTTTCTTTGATTATTTCAGTTAATATCCTATTATGAAAGCAAATGTTATAAAGGGCACATTAAAATGAGGGTAATTGCCATTTAGTATTCCCTGTGTACAGGGCAATTTCTTCTGACTCCAAAAACATTAGAAACAGAGGTGATTCTCTATAGTAATGACAGCATACAACCAAGTGAGAGGAGCTGAAGTATTAATCAAATGTTAAGAATGTGACACCCACTCATTTCTAAACAACTCCGGTATTGAAAATGGCTTATTATTCCAGTGGAACTTAAAAATCCTTCTTTGGGTAAAAAGTTAATTGCAAAATAACTGTTAGATAAGATAATTTGCAGTATATGTGGGATTGAAATAGTGTGACTAATTCAGGTTTATCCTTAAAGAATCTAAAGCTTCTCTCTAGCACCTTCACTGTGTATTCTTTTTAAGTCCTCAAGGCATCATAGATCTCACTAGGAATTACAACTTAAACTCTTTAAGTCCTCAAGGCGTCATAGATCTCACTAGGAATTACAACTTAAAAGAATCTGAATTTGAGTTCTAGATGCTTTAGGAGGTGTATGTGTAACATATATCACCAACAGCTGACTCAAAATCACAATCTGAAATGTATTTCAACCATGATTAATAAATTATTAATTAAGCAGGCAAGAGCCTGAGTTGTCATTAGGGTTTTGGGTGCCTTATTCCGATATTCTTTACGATATCCACGCTACTTGAATCTGCTGCTTTTCCACAGATACATGGAAGTTAAAACATCTTGCAAATATAAAAATTGTTTATTTATCTATCTTTATACATACACATATGTGTATATATAGGAAGCAACACATCAAAGTTTATAGTTTTTGGTTACAGGCTAAAACATCAAGGTTAAAATTCAGCTTTCACTCAAAAGTGAATCTCCCGAGGAGAAAAAGTCTCACTGAAAATTAATGAGACTGCTTGCTCGGGTTAGCTGCTCTGAGAATATCTCCCAAAATTAAATTCCCCATAAACACAAAGGGAGTTCACATACACACGTGTATATATAGGAAGCAACACATCAAAGTTTATAGTTTTTGGTTACAGGCTAAAACATCAAGGTTAAAATTCAGCTTTCACTCAAAAGTGAATCTCCCGAGGAGAAAAAGTCTCACTGAAAATTAATGAGACTGCTTGCTCGGGTTAGCTACTCTGAGAATATCTCCCAAAATTAAATTCCCCATAAACACAAAGGGAGTTCACCTAGGTGACAACTAAATTAAAAGAAAAGATTAATATGTAATAAATCAGTTTCAGGTTTTGACATGGAAGTACTTGACAATTTAACGGATTTCTCCAAGATAAAGGAGATCTGCATTCATAAAAATAGAAATCATTAGTCAGTATTTGCCAAAAAGTAACAAGAGGAAAATGCATACAGACAAATAAACAACAGTAAATATCTGTCAAATAGCATGTTACAGTGCTACTGATTTTAAAGCTGCTTTGGTTTCAAATATCAAAGCTTTCATTTTGCAATTAACTCACATGAAGTAGAAGCACAGCTGCAAGGAAAGACTGTCCCTGGCAATAGCCAATGTCTTCATCATAGACAGAGTATGCCTAGAAAAAAACAAAAGCCAACATATATTTAAAATGCACACAGGCATTATCAAAACGTATTATAATCACTGAGCTATGCAGAATGAGTAAATACAGTCTAAAATAATAAAGGGAGCGAAACTGGAACCATTCTTGCATAGGCTTTCAGGGCACTTAAGAAAACATCTACAGGTCACCCTCAGTTTTTCCATAGATGCCATATTTGTAAATTTTTATTTTTCAAACAGCATGAAAAGAGTTGGATGCAATTTCCTTCTTCTAAATCAAGGACAATTCTGCTGATGTCAGTAATGTTGTAACTTTATCGACGTAACAAATACGATATAAGGAGCAGGTCAGTTTGTGTTGTGTGGAGAGCACTTGTTTGCTTTTGGAAAAACAAGTCTGACATCATACAAGTATAGGAACCAAGGCTGAGTGTTGGAAGAACCACTCTAGCCTGAAAATTTCATCAGAAAGAGTTCTTCCATGTCCTTGTTATGCTGAAGAATGGACAAGACTCATTTTCCTATGGTATGACTGACATACTAATTTATTTTTTTTTTCTCTTAAAAAAACAGAACAAAAATAACCAACCTTGCCTTCCCCCTTACTTTCCCCAGGGAAGATGACAGATTCTGTTTTTAAAGAGATGCCAGAGGATGTTAAGAATTTGAGGAAACTTGAGAAAGTATAAGCAGCACCAGGACTGACATCGGAGAGAGACACATCCTGAGAGAATACGCAAGGTACTAAGGTTCCAGCCAGGGAAAACAAAAGCCCAAGGTCAGAGCTATGGGGAGGAACAAGACACATGAATCAGAAGATCCGCTTTGCCCCCACACCACTTCCAAGACTGTTTACAGATGAGAACGTTTTGAACTGGAACACTCTGCTTATCTTCTCCTTTTTAAGTCTTGAAGGAAATGGAGATTGCAAGTTGAGAGGCACGAAGCACAGCGGGACTGCGAATAAACAATGTCAGGTGTGCTGGGGAAACCAGGCCCGTGCGGATCTATTGTGCAATATTTCAAAGGTGGCTCAAAAGGGGAGAAGAACTGGGACTCAAAAAGAGATGTGACTCTCTTCCAGCCAACAGTATTAACATTATTGCAAATAGTTTCTACTAGAAACATTAAAATCGAGGCCAAAGTCTTTAAACCCCCCTTCCTTTCTCATTCTGATGAGCAGGCCAGAAACGTTAAAATCGAGGCCAAAATATATTTAAAGTCTTTAAACCCCCCTTCCTTTCTCATTCTGATGAGCAAAATCTAAGGAAGAAATATTTACAAGGAATTCTGCAATGATTCTATAAGAGATTTCTGTAAAGCATATAGCCTGAGTATTCCTTAAAAGTCACTGTTTATAATCAAGTCACCCATACATTTCCCAATACATTTGTAGCTTTGTGAAAAACTGTGATTTACAGCTCTTTGTCATTTGTCAATACTATTTATCATTCTTTTGAAGTATGTTAGATGGGATTAGTTAGAATCCAAGGGAAAATAATCCCAATCCACTGCTCAGTTTCAAGTCAAGCAAATACAAGACTAGTCACATAAATTATTGGGGCTCATTAAACTCATAATGGCTCATTAAACTAATGAGCCATTACAATCTGCTTACTAGTTTAAACCAGCTCTACCTACAAAATCAACTGCAGAAGTGTACGAAAGCAGCCAAAAAACTTCAAACTGGAAAAAAAGGAAAAAGTGAATTTAAAATTACTTTTTAGCTACTAAGTACTGAATTAACAGAAATTACTTTCAACACTTAAATTAATATTGCATATGACTAATGAGAACCATCTACTGGTTAATCATCATCATCATCTTTATCTATTTGTATCCCAAATCTATCATTTTATGGATGCCTAATACTTTATTTCTGTAGCATTCTTAAAAGAAGTATTATTTCTGCTTTTGAAAGCTCAACTCTACTTAGAAACAAATATGCAGAATTACAAATTATAGATCTGACCTGTGATTTCTTCATATTAGAGTAAAACACTTCTGTTCTGCTATAAACAACTCCAGGATGAAAAATTAATAGTGATTTATCAACACATGGGTGTATTCTCTGTTGCAAAAAGCATTATTAGCACAATGGCTAATAATTTGCTGAAAACAACAATAAATTAATTCAAATGAGTTTTCAAATAACTATTGAGAAATCAATACACTGGAGCAAATAAAAACCAATAAATTAAGTCAAACAAGTTTTAAAATAAATATTGAGAAATCAATACACTGGAGCAAATAAACTGCCTTCAAAACTGACATAGATTAAAAAGTTAAGAAATTTTCCAGAAATAAACAAATACTCCATTTGAGATTGCGCAAGAAGTCAAAATTATGGCAAAAGCGGGAAAATGGGGAGGGTGCAAAAAAAGCCTCACTCTGCATATTAAACATAAAAATATGAAGGAAGGCCAAGAAATGTTCTCATAATCAACTTCCTAAACACATTAAAACCAGCAATAAATCCATTTCAAACACATCCAGAGCAGGAAGGCAAAGCCTCTACTTTCTACTACAGCAGAAAATCCACGTGAACTTTCCTTGTGTCTGTTTTATTACAGAAGAATCACAGGGGTTGTCATCCTGCTGGAATCATTTCTAACAAGGGATGTGTTGAAGGATCTGTCTCCAACTGAGTATCAGAAGAGATGATAAATTAAAAGGAATAAAAACACTAAAAATTCATTAAAAACAGACAGTATTCACCCAAAACCTTGGGTGAGGTTGAGGGGGTGGTAATCACTAAACTGGTAAACCATTAATTTGCTTATTAAATTTTGTAAAATTTGTAAAATTTATTTTAAAGATCTGTAAAAAGAGGTGATACACAGAACTATAAATCAATGAGTACTGGATAATTTGGTTTAAACAAATATTTCAAATTAATTAGTGGACACAGATATACATAGTATATAAGACAAAAATGTCTGAGGGTCCCATTAAAAGAACGTCATCATTAACAAATCTTTGAAGCAACTAACAACTATGAAAAAAAAATATTAACTGCTTCATCTGTTTGCTTTTTGAAATTACTTTCCACTAGGTCCTTCACAAGCAGCTGTTATTAAATACATAGACACTAAGTTCAGTTTTGCTTGAGAAGTAGATCAAACTGAGAAAGATTCTGTTGTTAAGTCAAAGCATCATAATCCTGGCAACTAAAGATTTATTTTTTAATGAAGTCTCTAAATCTATATGATTTCATTGTATTTGCCCAAAGCAAAGAGATTTTTGAAGCTTTATGCATATTACCTTTCCAATTACACTTTTTTAGTTTTAAGTGACCTATGGGACTTGATATTGCTGAAATATAATGTAATTAACCAAAACATCCTCAAAAATAAGGGTGCTGCCTACAGATATCACCACAATATCATATTACTAAGAAAAGATCTAAGATTAATTATTTAAGATTTATCCTTCTAAAGGACTGTTGAGCATTAACTTTGTCTTTCCAGATGACATACGAAAACAAAGCAAAATCCCCAAATCCCTATTGCCATCGCAGTCATTGTAACTTTGTAATTTCAAGAGAATGGGATTTTTCCCCATGACAACCTTCAACAATTTTGCAGTCTTTTAAGTTATTATTTTCTTAAGCTCTTGGGGAACCTCCAATCACAACTCTCCAGTTAACTGAGATTTTAAATATTCTCCATCTCATAAATGGGACTTAATGAAGATTCTGCCTTGAAGCCTACTTTCATTCATTTTAACTAAATGAAGATCTCACCTAGAGAATTAAAACATCTTTTTAATAGTTATCTGTCTTCTGAAGAGAAGAACTACTGTGCAGTTATTAGTACAACAGCATTAGAAAGTGAATACTTTATTTGAGGAGACTCTGGTGCTTCCAAAGTCAGTGACAGAGAACCACCTGCTTGCTAGGAAAGTGAATGAAGAGGCCAGAGATGGACAAATTCTTCTTTAAAATTATTTCTGCAGGAAAATCTCCCAAGATCAGGATCTTCCGCAGATCTAAAAATTGCAAGTAGCACTTGAAAGATGAATGGAAAAGGTTGCTGATTTGAATTTAAAACCCCAGATTTGAGATTTCTGCTACTACTGTGTATAAGTCCCGATAGTTTTTAAAAAGCAGGAGTAGGGAGTATACGTCTCAAATTCCAGAATGCAATGTTTTTCATCATTTTGCATCATCATAAGCATGAAAATGCCTGCTTATATTTGCCGAAGGATCAAATGTACTTAAAACAACAAGATGTGAAAAACTAACTCGCAAAAATGAGCTTACAATCACATTGCCAACTTGCCTTCACAGAGTAACTCACATTAGAAATGAAACATTATAATTATATCAGAAACTAAAGAGAGCTCATAAATAGTATTTCTTTAGTGTCTGCCTCATACAAAGGTCTTACATTTGCCAGAGCTTTCGTTCCTCTCCCTGCCCCCCCTCCCCTCCCTTCAGAGCAGTGCAGAGGGAAAGGCATGAGCAGAGGCTCTACAGATCTCCATCTCTCATCCGCAGTGATGGTATCTCTCTTGTCAGTAATAATGTCTCCTGGCACAGGCACCACTCACTCCCCCAAACAAGCGACAGGCACACACTGGCACAAGGCTTGTTGACAGCCAGAAGAGAGAGATCCGGCATCTGTGTCCCCGGAAAAAAGGAAAACCTTACAGGAATTGAAGGCAACTTTTTGGGGGGAGAATTACAAGCCTGATCTGCTCTCGTTACTTACCTTTGTGTCGCTAACAAAATGATAAGAGACTACGCAGGGAATCTGTGCTGAAGTCTGGTTTAGTAGAGTTAAAAGACTTACATGGTGTCTGAAAAACAGACCGTCTCAAGAAAACATCTGTATTTTGATGCAGACTTCTCGGGCAACAAGGTATTTTATGACACGCTTGATTGATGAATAATTTTAGTGATAGTAAAATTTAAAACCCTATATCTAAATTTATTATAAGGCTAACAGTCTGAAAGCAGCAATACTCCTATGACTGCAGCATTTAGGATGTATCACATTATAGAAGGAA